GTGTGTGCGTGTGTGCGTGTGTGCGTGTGTGCGTGTGTGCGTGTGTGCGTGTGTGCGTGTGTTCGTGTGTTCGTGTGTGCGTGTGTGCGTGTGTGCGTGTGTGCGTGTGTGCGTGTGTGCGTGTGTGCGTGTGTGCGTGTGTGCGTGTGTGCGTGTTGTGCGTGCGTGTGTGCGTGTGTGCGCGTGTGCGCGTGTGCGCGTGTGCGCGTGTGCGCGTGTGCGCGTGTGTGCGTGTGTGCGCGTGTGCGCGTGTGCGCGTGTGCGCGTGTGCGCGTGTGCGCGTGTGCGCGTGTGCGCGTGTGCGCGTGTGCGCGTGTGCGCGTGTGCGCGTGTGCGCGTGTGCGCGTGTGCGCGTGTGCGCGTGTGCGCGTGTGCGAGTGTGAGCGTGTGCGCGTGTGCGAGTGTGCGCGTGTGCGCGTGTGCGCGTGTGCGCGTGTGCGCGTGTGCGCGTGTGCGCGTGTGCGCGTGTGCGCGTGTGCGCGTGTGCGCGTGTGCGCGTGTGCGCGTGTGCGCGTGCAACCCAGATGCCGCCACTGTGCGCGTGTGTGCGTACATCAGTGTGCGCGCGTGTTGCTTGTGGCGCGTGGCGCGCAGTGAGCGCGTGCAGTGTGTGCGCGCGGGCGCGTGTGCGCTGTTAGGGGGGGGGGGACCCGGGGGCGCTGTGTTGTGCGCGTCCGTGCGCAGGTGCTGCGCGTGTGCGCGCGTGCCGCGTGTGCCGCGCGTGAGCGGTGCGCGTGCCGGTGTGGCGGTGTGCGCGTCGTGCACGAGACCCAGCGGCCCGCCGGCATGTTAGTTCGAAGGACAGGTTAGTAGGATGCGAAAGATGTGCGGCTCACAAAGGTGCGCAAGTGATGCGCGCGTGTGCGCGTTAAGTGCAGGCGAGGCACACGATTTTGCGCGTGTGCGCGTGTGCCCGTGTGCGCGTGTGCCCGTGTGCGCGTGTGGGCGTGTGCGCGTGTGCGCGTGTGCGCGTGTGCGCGTGTGCGCGTGTGCGCGTGTGCGCGTGTGCGCGTGTGCGCGTGTGGGCGTGTGCGCGTGTGCGCGTGTGCGCGTGTGCGCGTGTGCGCGTGTGCGCGTGTGCGCGTGTGCGCGTGTGCGCGTGTGCGCGTGTGCGCGTGTGCGCGTGTGAGCGCGTGTGCGCGTGTGCGCGTGTGCGCGTGTGCGCGTGTGCGCGTGTGCGCGTGTGCGCGTGTGCGCGTGTGCGCGTGTGCGCGTGTGCGCGTGTGCGCGTGTGCGCGTGTGCGCGTGTGCGCGTGTGCGCGCGCCTGTGCGCCTGTGCGCCTGTGCGCCTGTGCGCCTGTGCGCCTGTGCGCCTGTGCGCCTGTGCGCCTGTGCGCCTGTGCGCCTGTGCGCCTGTGCGCCTGTGCGCCTGTGCGCCTGTGCGCCTGTGCGCCTGTGCGCCTGTGCGCCTGTGCGCCTGTGCGCCTGTGCGCCTGTGCGCCTGTGCGCCTGTGCGCCTGTGCGCCTGTGCGCCTGTGCGCCTGTGCGCCTGTGCGCCTGTGCGCCTGTGCGCCTGTGCGCTGTGCGTGTGCGCGCGTGTGCGCGTGTGCGCGTGTGCGCGTGTGCGCGTTGTGCGCGTGTGCGCGTGTGCGCGTGTGCGCGTGTGCGCGTGTGCGCGTGTGCGCGTGTGCGCGTGTGCGCGTGTGCGCGTGTGCGCGTGTGCGCGTGTGTGCGTGTGTGCGTGTGTGCGTGTGTGCGTGTGTGCGTGTGTGCGTGTGTGCGTGTGTGCGTGTGTGCGTGTGTGCGTGTGTGCGTGTGTGCGTGTGTGCGTGTGTGCGTGTGTGCGTGCGTGCGTGTGTGCGTGTGTGCGTGTGCGCGTGTGTGCGCGTGTGTGCGCGTGTGCGCGTGTGCGCGTGTGCGTGCGTGTGCGTGCGTGTGCGCGCGTGTGCGTGCGTGTGCGTGCGTGCGTGCGCGTGCGTGCGTGTGCGCGTGCGTGCGTGCGTGTGCGTGTGCGCGCGTGTGCGTGCGTGCGTGTGTGTGTGTATGTGTTTGTGTGTGTGGTTGTGTGTGGTTGTGTGTGGGGTTGTGTGTGGGGTTGTGTGTGGGGTTGTGTGTGTGTTTGTGTGTGGTTGTGTGTGTGTCTGGTTGTGTGTGTGTCTGGTTGTGTGTGGTTGTGTGTGTGGTTGTGTGTGTGGTTGTGTGTGTGGTTGTGTGTGTGGTTGTGTGTGTGGTTGTGTGTGGTTGTGTGTGTGGTTGTGTGTGTGGTTGTGTGTGTGGTTGTGTGTGGTTGTGTGTGTGCGGTTGTCTGTGTGGTTGTGTGAATGGTTGTGTGTGTGGTTGTGTGTGTGGTTGTGTGTGTGGTTGTGTGTGTGGTTGTGTGTGTGGTTGTGTGTGTGGTTGTGCGCGTGCGCGTGCGCGTGCGCGTGCGCGTGCGCGTGCGCGTGCGCGTGCGCGTGGGTGTGGGTGTGTGTGTGTGTGGGTGTGTGTGGGTGTGTGTGGGTGTGTGGGTGTGTGGGTGTGTGTGTGTGTGTGGGTGTGTGTGGGTGTGTGTGTGGGTGTGTGTGTGTGTGCGTGCGTGCTTGCGTGCGTGCGTGCGTGCGTGCGTGCGTGCGTGCGTGTGTGTGTGTGTGGGTGTGTGTGTTGTGTGTGTGTGCGCGTGCGCGTGCGCGTGCGCGTGCGCGTGCGCGTGCGTGTGTGTGTGTGCGTTGTTTGACGCTTCTTGTCGTGGTGGTTGCTTGTAGTTGTTGCAGATTCGCCCTCCTCGTCCTTAGCATCTGTTGAGGGGCTTACTGGCGGCCTGCTCGAGGTTCATGTAGCGGCCTCTGGAAGCTTTGTCAAAACCCTGGTTGGTGTTTGGGGCGACCTGGGGGCTTCTTAGGGTGGCTCCTCAGGGCATGTTGGAGGTCGTGGGTGTCATATTGTGTTTGGAGGAAGGGGGCACCCAGGGTTCCTGTGGGTTCCCCCTATTGGGCCTCTCTTGAGGCCCTCTTGACATGTTTTTGCCGGCTTGGGTGCCTCTTGGGCCCTCTTGGGGCCTTTGGTGGCCGTCTCCAGGCCTTTCTGGGGACCTTTCGGGCTGTTCTGGGGACCTTTCGGGCTGTTCTGGGTTTGCAGACGCCCGCAAAGGCGCAAACGCGAATATGTAAATCAATGAGTCGTTGCCTCGTGATGCCCTTCGGGGGGTCCTCTCTGGGCCCTCTTTCGGCGTCCTGGGCCATTTTGAGGCTCCACAGGCCACACTACTCCTTCCTCTGCAACATCACTCAGCGGGGCGAGAAGGGTGCGCACTTCATCCGTCAGACCACCTCCACCGTCGCTGGCTATGCGGAGACGCACGCTGCGCAAGGCAGCCTCGCTGCAGCTCGGGAGGGCTTACAGTCAACCCGCATACTAAGGACGGGGAGCCTTCCCAAGGGGACCCTTGCATCCTTGCATCCTTGCATCCTTGGCCACGTTCGTTGGCCGCGCCCCGCTCGATAACTTCGAAATGGGCTTCCAAAGGCCTTGCATCCTTATCGCGCATCCTTACTGTATGGGTTGACTGTACTAGCTTACGACGCGACGGATGCGGCCGCGGCGACAACTCCAACGAAGCAATCAGCGCAGGCGGAGAGCAGCTGCCGGCGCGGAGCCACACGGCAGTCGCTACCCTCGAATGCGCTGCAGCGAGCGCTTCGAGGCCACAGGCCGAGTTCTGTTTCGGTTGCTCCGCCCAGCCCTCCTTCACCGCGCTGGAGGTAGCGCGGCCCTGGCCTCAAGTCGCGCCTGTCCCCCACAGGAGGAATATTCAAAAATGGTAAAAACAAAAAAGTCTGGGGACGATGTTTTACTATTTGTGGCCATTTGGGAGAATGTGTTTGGTATGCTTTATGTTTCGCCCAAAATCCCCATGTAGGGGGACATTCCCGACTTAACCCTGGCCACGGTCGATTTCTTGCCCAGGCCATCAGTTTGCTTGCCTCAATTGAGCTTTGTTGCGGTCGCTGGCCAGCCTCACCACGATGTTGGCCGACTCCTCCTCGTAGCCCGTCGAACTCCAGTTCCGCTGCGCCGCGTGGCACAGACGGAGACTCAGCCAGCCTCCTCCTTCTCCTCCTCGTCCTCCTCCTCCTCCTCATTCTCCTCCTCCTCCTCCTCCTCCTCCTCCTCCTCCTCCTCCTCCTCCTCCTCCTCCTCCTCCTCCTCTTTGTTCCCCGATGCGGCGCAAGGGCGCAGGAGCTGACGTAACGGTTCGGGGGGCGCGTTTTCGATTGGGGGTGGACGCCATTACCCATTGCAAAGTAATGCCATGTTTCCCAGGAGGTGAATTTCAGGCGCCCTGGCAGAGAGTTGGATTCGAGACCCCAGAAAGTGTTGCATCGACGTGTTGTTCTTTGTGTTGGAAGCCGTCAGTGGACGTCCCCCCTCGATCCGCGAGGCTCGAGGGCACGATTTAGCTGTCGAGTGAGGCATGGGCTCCGTCCCTGACCCCAGAGGAGCTGCTGCGGCACGTGGACGTGCTGGAGGGCCGAGTGCACGAGAAGGACCGCTGCATCCGGGCGCTGCAGAGGACGGCCGAGGAGAGGGGCGGCGTGGGCCACGAAGCTCAGGCCCGTCGCCGTCGTCGTCGCCGCCGCCGTCGCCATCGCAGTCGTCGGTCTTCGTCGTCGTTCGGCAACCGCAACGACGAAGCCGAGACCCTCCGAGGCAAGAGGAGGAGGAGGAGGGAGGAGGGAGGAGCACAAGCTCCCTTGTCCCTCCCTGCTTCCGTTCTCCCTCCCTGTCTCCCTCCCTGTCTCCCTCCTCCCCCTCCCCCTCTCGAGCACAGTCTGGTTCGAGCGCATCGTTTTATTGCGGCCTCGGGTCGAAGGCCTCCCATTTCCACGTGGTGCTTGAGGGGCAGCGGGACACGTGCTCAGGAGAGTAGGCGCTCTCGCCGGCAAAGGGAGGTTCAGCCATGGCAACCACCACCCATCGAGTGCGGTCCACCTGCAGGGCTTGCGGAACACAGGAATGGAACGACGTCTAGCAGAAGAAAATCTGCACGTGCAGAATATGTTCCAGGCAGGCGAAGCATCGCGGGGCCAGGCTGCCTACGAAGTCTGAGCCTGCTGTGCTTGTTGACACTTCCGAAGCCCAGCCCACCGTGCAGGGGCCGTTGGCGCAGGCGGCTGCTATCGCCAAGGCTCCCACGCTAAAAAGCAGGTGCTCGACGAGCGTGCGGCGGAGAGGCGGCCTGCTCCGCCGTCGGCGCCGTTCGTCCCGGCAGTGAAAGCGGCACGACGGGCCGACGGAGTGTGGAAGAATGCTTCACCACAGCAATTTGGAACAATCCTCCTCCTCCTCCTCCTCCTCCTCCTCCTCCTCCTCCTCCTCCTCCTCCTCCTCCTCCTCCTCCTCCTCCTCCTCACGCGTTACCAAGAGAGCTTGATTAAAGCCAAGGCCCGCGAGGCTGAGGCGACCAGCGTCCGACCAGCAGCAGCAGCAGAGTTGAGCAGAAGGGTCGCCGCGAAAGCACTCGCGCACCAGGCGGGAGACACAGGTGGCGATAGCGGGACCAGCTGCAATCCGCCGATGTTTGGTGGTGGCGGGGCTACTTCTATAGACTTGCAGTGGGACGTGTCTTTCTTCGCGGAGCTCGGAAGCTTAGAGCGCATCGAGGAGGAGCTCACCACCTGGAAGAAGTTCGAACAGGATCTCGTCATGGCGGAAAGCAACTTCGTGGCCAAGGCAAGGAAGACCACGAAGCGAAAAGCGTCAGCCTCTGAGATCGAGAAGATGATCGGGGAGCGGGCACAGAAGAAGAGGCGGCGCGTCGAGTCGCCCCAGGGCGCCGCAGGGGTCAGCAGCGGGGGGCGGCAGTGCGAGCTCGGAAGCAGCAGCACCCGCGGCGCCTGCAGCCCAGCCAGCTTCCATGCAGACGACGGCTGGGGAGGTCGATGCCGAGGTGGCTCGCGTCTGTCGGGCGCGGGGCGCCGGTGCGGCGGCGGCGCACGCGGCCAGCGGCGCCGAGCAAGCAGCCGCAGGTGGCGGTGCGACCATCCGCCCTCAGCCGTCTTTTGCGGATGCTGCTGGAGGAGTGGCGGCGCTTCCAGCGGCAGTCTCAAGCGAGTCGCTGAGCACCGGCACCAAAACCCAGGTGTTGAAGAAGTCGGAACCCGACGGGGAGGAGAACGAGGAGGGGGGCGAGGGCCTTCGCGAACATCACGGCGCTTGGGGAGAAGTCTTGGGTTTATCTCCGCAGGCGGGATGCGATGAGCCAGCGCCAGTACATCCGTGTGGTCGAGACTCATGTGTTCGGTAGCAGTCTTTCTCGCAGCGAGTGGACCCACAACGTGCAAGCAGCCAAGTGGCAGTTCCTCGATAATGAGTCGCGCAGCGCGGGCAAGGGGAAGTCCGACGCAGCTCCATTCTCCCCTCTCCTCCACCACTCTTCTGCATTCCTCGTGTCTGTCTGTCTTCTCCTCAGCAGTTGTTAATCTGGACAGTCTGATCCTCTTTCCCCGGATTCTGTCCAAGCGGGACTTTTTGTTTGCCACACGGCGTTTCGTCACGCTTCGGACTTCAAAATGACAAAGCCACTCAGAGGCGCCTACTTCGTTCTGAATAGTAGTTGGTAGGGTATTCGAGATTGTCGCCAACTTGCAGGCTTGTGCCGCCTCGTGGGCGCCTCGTGCGTGGTGCCCCGCGCTCGGGGTGCGTGCTGAGGTTTCGCCGCGCTGCCGCCTCGTGGGCGTCTCGTGTGCGCCCCTTTTCGGGGTGCGCCGAGGTTGCGCCAGGCTGCTGGCCGCCCGCGTAGCTCGCACGGCACGACACACCTCACAGTTTCCATCGCACAGATTTCACCTCCACAGCCCACACCACACAGTTTACGCGGCACAGATGTTACCACACAGTTCCCTCTGCATATCGTGTTCTCCTCCACCGTGTACTGGCCCACCGTGCAGTCGCGCACTCTTTGGGGTCCACGCTGGCGAGCATTTGTTCTACTGGCTCAGTTGTTTCAAATGGTGTTCCCGCCGTAGCCTTGGCCTCATTTCAGGATCGGCGCTTTGCTCCCGTCGTTCAGCATGGCGCTCTCGCCCCAGCGCGGACTGCGTTTCTGGGCCGGTGCTCGACCTAAACGGTTTTGCCGATTTCGTGGGCCGTTGTCGTTTCGATTTCGTATTGCAACAAAGGCGGATTGAAGACAAAACGAGGGCAAGCGAAAACAACACGGAGACGAAAACACGGTGTTGGTCGAACACCGCTCTGGACCCAGGGCCACTCTTTGTCGCTGTTGCCCCTCTGCTGCCCCCCTTTCTTCCACCGTCTGCTGCTGCTGCTGCTGCTGCTGGTCCTCCTCCTCATCCTCCTCCTCATCATCACCGTCCTCCTCATCCCCGTCCTCCTTTTCACCATTCCTCGTCGCTGCTGCCCCTCCCCTGCCCCCTGTCGTCCGCCATTCATGGTCCTCCTGCTCCTTCCGCTACCCCTGCTGCTGCTGCTGCTGCTGCTGCTGCTGCTGCTGCTGCTGCTGCTGCTGCTCCTCCTCCTCCTCCTCCTCCTCCTCCTCCTCCTCCTCCTGGAGTCCCCCCGCAAGGGCCGCCGGTAGGCGCTTCCTCACAGCGCTCCCGGGGCGAAGTTCCGTTCTGTCGTTGCGCCCAGCTGTTCAACCAGCAAGACATCGAGCCACTGGCTCGCAGGTGCCCCTGTCTTCAAAGAAGACTTCCCCTGTGACGTACCCAAATCCATGTGGCGGTTATACTCAGGGCCACTCAATGCTGACTGGCATTCTGAAGGACCCGCAGTGCGCAAGAAGAGCACCCGACAGTGATTCCAGAAGAGCGCAGCAAGAAGAGGAACGGCAACTATACAAAATGAAAACACAGGGGCGTTGAAAGAACACGTGTGACGTACCTCCGAATGATCCACGTGGGACGTACCTCTGCAGGGCCTCCCAGGAGCCCACGAAAGTGGCGACAGTTGGGCAGATCGCAAGCCCCCCAGGGGGCGGCGAGGTCCCGAGGTGATTCGCGCGGGACTCACGTCCGCAGGGCCTCCCAGGAGCCCACGAAAGTGGCGACAGTTGCGCAGATCGCAAGCCCCCCAGGGGGCGGCGGGGTACGGAGGTGATCCGCGTGGGACCCACCTCCGCTGGGCCTCCCAGGAGCCCACGAAAGTGGCGACAGTTGCACAGATCACAAGCCCCCCAGGGGGCGGCGAGCTACCGAGGTGATCCGCGTGGGACCCACCTCCGCCGGGCCTCCCAGGAGCCCACTCCCAGGAGCCCACGAAAGTGGCGACGAGTTGCGCAGATCGCAAGCCCCCCAGGGGGCGGCGGGTACCGAGGTGATCCGCGTGGGACCCACCTCCGCTGGGCCTCCCAGGAGCCCACGAAAGTGGCGACTGTTGCGCAGATCGCAAGCCCCCCAGGGGGCGGCGAGGTACCGAGGTGATCCGCGTGGGACCCACCTCCGCTGGGCCTCCCAGGAGCCCACGAAAGTGGCGACAGTTGCGCAGATCGCAAGCCCCCCAGGGGCGGCGAGGTCCGAGGTGATCCGCGTGGGACCCACCTCCGCTGGGCCTCCCAGGAGCCCACGAAAGTGGCGACAGTTGCGCAGATCGCAAGCCCCCCAGGGGGCGGCGAGGTACCGAGGTGATCCGCGTGGGACCCACCTCCGCTGGGCCTCCCAGGAGCCCACGAAAGTGGCGACAGTTGCGCAGATCGCAAGCCCCCCAGGGGGCGGCGAGGTCCCGAGGTGATCCGCGTGGGACCCACCTCCGCTGGGCCTCCCAGGAGCCCACGAAAGTGGCGACCGTTGCGCAGATCGCAAGCCCCCCAGGGGGCGGCGAGGTACCGAGGTGATCCGCGTGGGACCCACCTCCGCTGGGCCTCCCAGGAGCCCACGAAAGTGGCGACTGTTGCGCAGATCGCAAGCCCCCCAGGGGGCGGCGGGGTATCGAGGTGATCCGCGTGGGACCCACCTCCGCTGGGCCTCCCAGGAGCCCACGAAAGTGGCGACTGTTGCGCAGATCGCAAGCCCCCCAGGGGGCGGCGGGGTACGGAGGTGATCCGCGTGGGACCCACCTCCGCTGGGCCTCCCAGGAGCCCACGAGAGTGGCGACAGTTGCACAGATCACAAGCCCCCCAGGGGGCGGCGAGCTGATCCGCGTGGGACCCACCTCCGCTGGGCCGCCCAGGAGCCCACGAGAGTGGCGACAGTTGCGCAGATCGCAAGCCCCCCAGGGGGCGGCGAGGTCCCGAGGTGATCTGCGTGGCACCCACCTCCGCTGGGCCTCCCAGGAGCCTACGAAAGTGGCGACGGTTGCACACATCGCAAGCCCGACGGCACGAGAGAACAGGAGAGGGGAACACAGGAAACAGGAGAGGATGAGGGGAGGAGAGGGGGGGAGGAGGAGAACGGGGCGACCACACTGCTCTATTCAAAACGAGCACGCAACCACAGCAGGGTTGGGAAACAAAAAACACATAAACATGAACTTTTGGCGTTCCGCCGAATCTATTGGATCCGCGCGGTCTGGTCATTCTCGTCCCCGTCCTCCTCGTCCCCGTCCTCCTTTTGGCCACCTTGTTCGCGCCTCGGGCACCCAGGTCTGCAGCGGCCGA